TGGTTGTCTTTAAGCATATAGTAAACCAACTCTTTTCTTTACCTCTCCAAAGAGTACCAGAGTGCTTCCTTACATGCTCTCAGTGTTAATGAATTAAAGTATGTCCTCTCCTGAAGTTCTACTCTAATTTCTCATCATGATGTGGAAGTAACTGTGGGTTTTTGAAAACTGTGCCAAAGGGAGCTCTAGAAAGTCCTACTTGAGGAGTAGGCTCAGCAATGGATTATATTTCTGTCTTACAAAGACCAGCCCAGCCAGCAAGTGCAGAAAGGCTCATTACCTGATGACTCTACTAGGTGTTTGGGGTTTGCTTTTTGAGAGGTGTTGAGGAAATCTGTGGCTACACACAAAAACATTGCCATCTGCATCAATGAAGGGAGTATCCCCACTAATGAAATCATAGCTTTGTGACCAAAGTATCAAAATAGGAGTGCTTCAATATGCAGTATTTTAGAGTAGCTTTCTCAGAATGTGAAATCTGTTAAGTTGCTTTGTATATTACCCATGTTAAACTTTGTTTTCTGAAAGTGTTACTCTAAAATATTTTATATCTAATGCATTCTTATTAACCAAAGAGCCATAATTTAGATTATAATGATGTGTTCTCTTCACAGAGATTCAACAGAAACAATTAATTTATTCCTGTGTCTCCTGTGTACACAGTACACAAATTATTGAAATAATTTTAATATATTCATAGAATCTATAAAATAATTGCTTGATGCAATAAACATACACATACACACACATACATACTCAAATGTTTGAATGTTAAGTAATTCAGTATTTCACAAAAATGGGCCCTATGACCTTAGAAGAATTTCATTTAAACAAGAGAAACCCAAAGTTAGGCATGATTCAAATTAACTTACAAAGTGACAATTCCAGTAGAAGGGAAGAAAGGAAGGAAGAAAGAGAGAAAGAAAATGGATTAATAGCTCCTTCTATTCACTGCAATTCTTATTTCAAATTTTGTATTAGAGAGAGGTTGGGAGTATGCAGAGGGCAATCAAAAGAAAGTATCATGCTTCAAGAAACTGAAATATGTAGTGTGCCATGTTTCACTTTTGACACTTGGGGTCTGTGTATTTTTTTTAACCAATATTAAGCTTAAAGCAACTAGCACAGTGATGGCCCAGGAGTAGAAGCCTGTAATTTTTTGTTTCATTTCCACAAGCATATAAGAAGTTTTGGGTGTGTAGAATGTATTTTACCAGACAATGAAATATGAAGATCATAGGTTCATTGCTTTAGAATTGGAAGGAACCTTAGCTGTCATCTAGTCCAGTCCTCATCATTTTGTAATGACTTGCCTGAGGTTGTCCAGGTAGCAAGGAACAGGTACTGTGACATCAGATTCAGTACTGTTTTCATTGTAATATACATGGTCTTTTCCTCAAAGATATTACTGTTTAGTTCAAGAGACAACATATACGATATATTACAAAATAGAAGATGATTGATTTTATTAGGTCATTTTAATATTCAAGATCTGATTCAAATAGCAAATATCTGATTAGCATTTATATTAAAGAGATGTCCAACTTTACTTGCTGGGAAAACTTGATCCAGTAGAAAGTTTTCTATGAATAATTTGGCATTTTCTTTAGGTTTTATAATACCAGTTCACTTATTTTTATTGATTCCATTTGAATTTTTAAAATTTAGTTGTAAAAACATACCTGTAAAAAGCTTAGTTCCTTTAGAAACAGCATGACTGAGGAGGCTTAGGAGACCAAACAATGTACTTGAAGTCACAAGACCTTGGTCTGGATTCACATAAAATACCTTCTTGATGCCTTATGATGGGCAAGTCACTTAACTTCCTTATATATAAAATGGGTATTAATAATACCCTAACTTCCTCATAGGATTGTTGGAAGATGCTCAGCAGTTTTATGAATGTTACATACATGTGAGGTGTTATTATTAGTGCCAATAATAATCCCCTATTCAAGATTCTGTGTTTTTAATTTTTATTTGGCACACATCTGTGTCTTCATTGGTTAGGGAACTACCTGTTTGGAAACTCTTCCCACCAGTGAAGAATAGCCATCAACTTAGAATTTTTGAATTTTCTGAGTGAACTGAAAGCATGAGCAACTTTGCCCATAGTCATACAGATAGCATGTTTCCAAGACAGGCCTTGAAACCAGGTCTTTCTGACTCTACTATGTCAGCCCGCCTCTCTTTTCCAAATTTATTTTAAAAAAATATTTTATATTGCTGTTCTGGTTTACTGACCAAATTAAAAAGGATATTAATGCTGAAGCAAAATTTCTATAGGCTGCTTGAATTAACCTAAATTATCGTCAGTCAAGTCATTGTCAGTCAGTAAGTATTTATTAAGTGTCTGCTATGTGTGAGGCATCATCATGAGTGCTGAGGTTACAAAGAAAGGTAGAAGACAATTCCTGCTCCCAGGAAGCCCGCAAGTTAATATGGTCTTAAGTCAGGTATTTGTATTGACTCTATCAAGAACAAGCAAATGGGCATCATTTGGCTACTGGGCTTTATACCTGGAAGCATAAACCACTAGAATTCAGAACAGCGTACATTTTCCCCACTAGGGGCAGTACACAAAATTCAAGCAGATAAAAATGTTGATGCACAACATAGACTGGTTATAGAATGCTATAGACCTCTTGTGTTTATTGTATCCTGTTTGATATGAGGTACATAGATTACGTGTGTGTGTGTGTGTGTGTGTGTGTGTTACACTATACGAGTCAGTATACCATCTATAGTTTAAATGTGAAAATCTCTGTGACAGTCTTAAGTTAATTTGCAAGTTCAAAGATGCCTCCACTGCCCTTTCACACAGTTTTCTAAATGTGATAATGGAGATATTTCAAAGAAAGTGCAATCCTGCATCTCTCAAAGTGAGTCAATCTGAGAACTACTTTTAGACATGTGGCTTCAGTTGTATAGAGAGAAAACATTCACCAAGCCTTCCTAGCATATGCTGATTTGGTTAGCTTTGTCATTATATTTGTTATCAAGATTTGTTATCTTGACTAATTAGAATATTTGGCTTTTAAATAGTATTTAAAAATAAAGGACTAGGGGAAATACAATCTTCTGAATTGGGCCAGGTATTTTTTCACTAGGTAAATATTTATAGGCATAAAAAGGGAAATTTCTTACTCATTATTACTGAATGGTATGTATTTTCTAGATGATATTTTTCTGCTTAAGTGATAGAACTACTATTCATGTAGAACTACTATAGTATATTTTTTAACCCGCTCTGCCAATGGTAGATTGTTTCTAAGTGTTACATTCCTATCTTCTAAGGAGGTCCAGAAAAGGGTCTAGCTTGTCTATAACTATATAAAAGCAGTTCTTTTGTAATAATCGTATTTTTGCTATTGAATACAAATTTTATGAACTTATTGGACATTTAATCTGGATGCTCCTGTTACAGTTTTATGTTGCCATATATTCTTTACATAATTAGAAAAGGTTTCTTGATACCGTAAACTTCCATTATAGACGTCCTTGTTCACAACAGAAATAAAATTGATCTTGTCTTGAAAGCATAATGTGAGAATTATGACATTTACTGTTAACGTCAAAATACATATTTGTACCAGTGCTTTCAAAGACAGGTCATTTTGCATAAAGCACTATTTTTGCAATTAGTTTATTTGTATCTTATGTTGCAGACAGAATCCACCAACGGGGAGAATCCAAGCATCAAGAAATCCCTCTTTCCTCTTTTTAATTCAAAGAATCCTTTAAAGCATAGTTCTTCTTTGAAAAAGCTTCCTGTAGTCACTCTACCTATGGTATCCATTTTTAAGTACTGTAGCACTGAAACCTGCTCCAGTAAACTTGTTTTACTGATGACAACAGCATGTCTTTTATTTTCATGGGGTCATATTCTCTTTATGCTAGTTAAGTATTTTGAGCCAGTTCCATAAATTCACTAGATCCAAATTATTGAGCACTCTGGCATGTTCGAATAAGTATAATAAGGAAGATGAAGCTTAAATCTAAAGATTATCAAAAAGCAATATGAAAACAAGTTGATAGGCAATGCTGGAAGACAGCATTCATAAGATCACTTATCACGTATTAAAAGTTAGATCAGTATTCCTAATCAGTAATTATTTTGGGGGCTCCTGGACATGGTCTGTTAATACTTGGTTTGCAGTTTATTGCTCTAAAACAAAGTTTAATGCATAAAATGGAGAAGAATTGAGAACTTCACAAAAAACAAACTTATGGTGATTTTGTGCTCTTTTTCTGGCTTGCTCCATTTTTTGCTAGTGACCTACTTTTAGCACCAGGGTATTTACTCTGAATTTGACATTAGTCACTCTCCATTTGCTGAATTGTTAATAAAAACAAATCTTAGTTTTATGAAATTAGTGAAACAAATCTCCAGTTTCTTCACTGTCCTCATGGTACCCCATGGAGGAATACTTTGACCAGTACTTACTAGGGTATGGTTCTCTGCCATTTTGGCAGCAATAACAGCTGACACTAGACTCCTCTGCCTTCCTAAAATTCAGTGTTTTGCTTTATTTCCTACCAGGCCAATGTTTTGGTTTTATTGAACTGGTTCATAACCTAACTACAGTATGGAATGCTATTGAATGAGGATAATATATTGTAATTTTTTGTGTAGATTGATTTAACTGCTCTTTCTTACAGTGACTAAACTAACAGCATGGGAATGCTTTAAGGGTAGAAGTTTTAACAAAGCTGCATGACATCTGCTGGTTTTTCCTTATGGAGGGGTAACTATGTTAAGAGGGCAGTCTCATTTAACTGGTGAGCACACTCATAAAAAATACACACACATATATATGTTCATATATGTGTGTATACATACATACACAGACAGACATACACATTGCAGTAGTATTTTGGGTTTTAGTTTTGGATTGTTAGGGTTTAGTTTTTTAGGGGGAGGGAGCTCCTTAGGAATAATCAATTACATAACTAGATACATTGGAATAAGTTAAATTTCCTCTTATATTCTTTTGTAGGTGCCCAATACAGATGGTCAGGATCTTCTGGCATTACAGAAAGCCATTCATTCGACTAATCACCAAAGCAGCCGGCCGAAGGAATGGCATCCCGAGAAGATCTCAGATCTTCAAGTTCATGTAAGTGGATGATGCCCACTTATCTTGATGTGCTACATCTGGGAATGGTTTGCTGTCTTACATTGGGAAGGGCTGTGTGTGTTAAAGTGCCAGAGTTAGGCAAAGATACACCAATATAGGAGCAGCAACATTACAGTCTGACAGAAAATCTCTGGCTATGAATAGGTAGTTTTCAAGTGAATTAAATCCAAGTTATCAGCAACTATAAGAAAAAATGTTCCAAATTATAAATAATTAGAGTATTACAAATTAAAGCAACTCTAAGGATCTATCTCACTCCCATTAGAATAGCAAGGGAAAAAAAAAGGAAAATGATAATTGTAGGAGGATCTATAGCAGAGCAGACAAAGTAATCTACTATTAGTGGATCTGTAAGTCCCAGCCATTTTGAGAAGCAGTTGGTTTTCATGCCCCAAAAGTCACTAAATTCTGCATATTCTTTGTCCTACTTGTACCATCACTAGATCTTTACGTCCAAAGAGATCAAAGAAAAACTGAAAGGACCCACATGTTTAAAAATATAGCAGCTCTTTTTGATATAGCAAAGAACTGAAAACTAAGATGGTGCCTATCAATTGGGGAATGATTGAGCAACTTATGGGTAAATTAATGTAATTGGATATTATTGTATTATAAGAAATGACTATACGGACTATTTCAGAAAAACCTGAGAAGATTTGTATGAACTGATGCAGAGTGAAACAAGCAGAACCAGGAGAATAATTTATTCGATAACAATATCTTTTTTCAAACACCTTTGAAAGATTTAAGAACTCAAGGTGATGCAATGACCAATCATGATTCCAGAGGTCAAATGTTGAAGCATGCTGCCCGCCTCCTGACAAGGGGAGACAGAGTCAAGATGTAGAATAAGACGAACATTTTTGGACGTGGCCAATTTTGACTGTTCGTATTTGTTTCAAGGATTTTGTTTTATTTTCCAGTGGTGAGAGGAAGTGCTAGTAGAAAGAGGAGGATTGGGAATAGGATAGTCTCCCTCTGCCTGCCCCCCCCAAAAAAGAAGAAAAACTAAAGAAAAAAGGATCATTGAAGCATGTTCTTTAAATTGAAAAGATCAGAAGGAAGGCCAGCACAGACAAGCAGGACAGCTTTGAAATTTACTTGTTCAATTTATTATATATTTTAAAAGAAAAGAAAGTTGTACCTGATATAAATTCTGTTTTATGTACAACCCTCCTTTTCTATTTTGCTATGTATATGAAAATGCCCATTTTATTTGATGTTTGTTAAACTCAGAATAAAAAATAGAATGAATAGAGAGATAAATGTCAGAGGTTTTGGCAGACTCCATGAGGTGGTCAATGGGTGTAACTGGTTCTGTTCAGCAAAGTGTCTGCTGTGCCCCAGGCACTCTTATAGAGCCACTGAGGGTATATCCAGAAGTGAAACATCCCTTGTTCTCAGAGAGTGTAGTGGGGGTGTGTGTGTGTGTGTGTGTGTGTGTGTGACAAAATATACACAGATATGTACCAACCAAGCTCCAAAAAGGAGTTGGAGACTCCATCCTGGAAGCTGAAGAGGGCCTTGCATTAATTTATTTTGTCTTTTGATTTTTCTAATTTGATTTCCTATGGTTTAATAAAGCCCACTCTTTAAAAAAACTGTGTACAAAAGGGCCATTGTCATATTTTGTAGAATCAAGGTTCAAGCCAATTGTTAAAGACTAGGATAAAGATTTCTTTTTGTTTGTTTGTTTGTTTGTTTGTTTGTTTGTTTTTAGTGGAACTGTTATGAAATTGTTAGAAAAATAAGAGCTTGGACCTTCAGCCTTTTGTTACATATGTATCCTTATAATGGATCTCAAAAGAAGAACAATACCTTTCATGATTTTTTTTTTTACACTAGGCAACACCAAGTTCTCTCCTAGCTTTAGAATGTCCACCAAATCCCATACCCAGTTCTCTTTCTTTCAGAGTCAGCCATTAAAATCACTCCGTAAGCTGTTACATCTCTCTTCCGCCTCAAACCATCCCGTTTCCTCGGATCCCCGCTTTCAGGCCTTACCAAGTCAGCAAGCCAAAAGTTCCTTTTCGGAAGTGCGGATTCACCCTATGAGCCAAGCGTCTAGCAGCAGCAGCAGCAGCAACGTCCGAGCTGAGGCCACTCCAAAGGCCAGGCCGACACTTCAGCTGCCGGGTCAGATAGACCCAGGCTGGCATGTATCCCCTGTGAGCAGGAGTGCTAACGAGGGGCCTTCCTACTCTGAACAGCTGGGTTCTAAGAGTGGGCCAAATGGGCACACATATAACAGAACAAATCGATCACGGATGCCAAATCTGAATGATTTAAAAGAGACAGCCTTGTAATTATGCTCCAGGGGATAGGGAGGAAAAAGCCAGCTCCCTGGGAAGAGGGGTGGGGAGGAAGGGGTGGGGTAGATAGGGCCAAGAGTGGTAAACCAGTATTTTCAGCCTTATAAAGGTGTGCAATATTGTGTATGTGGAGCTGCATCGTTGAGCACCATATTAGTCGTCAGGGATCGTGTAGTAAATGAGCTGAATTTCTGATTGCCAGTCACCAGAAGTCTCCCTTGATAGAGTTCAGGAAGAAGTTGCCTGGTTCTCTCCCCCTGCCTCTCACCCCTCCCTCACATTCCAGCTTTAGTGTGCTCCCTGGTGAAGCTGGGAAGCTAAAGCATGCCTTGGCACTTCAAGGGATGGAAAAATTAAGTGTCTCAACCTATGTCCTTACCACATACTTTCTGCCTAGTTGAAATGTGGGATTTATGTAATCCAAGCCTATCCCTTTCTTTCAAGGGTCAGAAGTCGAATTGTATGTCTTAAATTTGTTTTTTTTTAACTTCCATATTTGATAGGTTTGTAACATTTATTTATTATTAACTAATATTGTATTGTTATAATCATACCTTTTATGTTACAATATAAAGTTATTTTGAGCTGTTTGAAACATTGTGAAGCAGTGCGACAGCTACAGTAGTTTCTATAAAAACTAAACAGTAACATTTATATATTGCATCAGGAGTATTCTATCTATAAATATATATGGTAAATACCTGTCTGTTTTATAAATATCTTCATTTAAAGAAAGTATTGTTATGACACTATCTGCCATATTTTTATACATTTGTGATATAAAGTGCAGTATTATACTTGTAATAAAAGGGAGTTGAATTGTGGCTATGTGTGACTGTAACAGTATGAATCCTGCTCACCTGTAAGAGTGCAGCCCTCAAGGCATGATCAGTAGCAGCAAAATGTGTGCCATGTATTTCTAGCCCTGCTAGAAGGAAAACAAAAAAAGGATGAGGGACTGCCCAGCTAGCTGTATTGTAAGGAAGACCTCAGGCTGTTTTTGTTTTTGTTTTTTTTTCCAGTCCATGCATGATTAGCTCCCCTTTGTGTTTGGTATCACTTACATTTCTTGGTACAGAGAAAGTGCCCCTTAAAAACCACAACTAAAAACAGATGCTCTTCCATGGAATATTATGGGGTGTAGACCAAAGAAATCCAACATGATTTGTAAGTGTAATTTCAAAGTTGTGAATTTATATAAGATAGACTGCAAATCATGACATATCAGCTTTATGCTTAGGTGTATTATTCATTTGTATTGTATTGGGTAACTAGACAGAGTACATTAATGTAGTATTCTGATTTAAAATGCTGCTGTGCTTTTTTGGTTGCTATTTTTGAATAAATTTTAAGGCTTCGGAAACAGTTATAGTTATATTCTAATTATAGAGAAAATTGTCACATGCCCCATTTTCCTCTAGGGTCTCATTAGAATATCATTTCCAGTTAGGTTACCATTGACTCTGGCTTCAGGGACTTTTCCAAATTTCCCACAATATGGTGGCGTTTAAGTATAGCAAATATAGTGTCAGAACAATACCACTTTTTCTTGTCATTCATCTCCTTTCATTCCCAAGTCACTCACAGATGTCATTGAGCCCTTTGACCCTTGTGTGACAGTAGCCAGTGATTGTGCTTTATGTGTATTTTGTCCTGCTTCACCTAAACACATTCACCTGTCCACAGTCCTCAATTTTGGAAGTACCCAGTTGGCACCCCTTTTGAAGATTTCCCCCTCATACACACACATTTTTTCACCCCCAGGGTTCACTTTTAAAGAGAAGAGAGTATGTTTGTCTCCCCACTAATCCCCAAAGGGTGTGGCTTTGTCAGGGTTTATTCCTACCAGAGTTCTGAGCACATCAGATCCCACATCAGCTATGACAGATGAAAAATGTAATAAACTGAACTGCTCTGGCTACAGTTTTCTTCAGGATTTTGAAAAACTGGTAACCCTAATGATTATGCACAATACAAAAAAGGAGGCTCTCCTTCTCCAAGACTCTCTGAAATGTTAGATTGTGTGTATATTGCATTCTTATTTATATTATGATTTCATGTGTATAGACTATATGTAGAACTCATTGGTGCTTTTTGTTTCATTTTCAATAAATATATTGGACACTAAAGAAAAACTTAAGGTGGGCTTGATATTATCATTGAAGCTATTTGGTTTGAAATCCACTAATGATTTAACAAGCTGTGCTTTTTGTTTATTTTTTAATTGTTAGATTTTCTCTCTTCCTCCAGTTCAGGACGTTTCAGCTGGCCCTGCATTGTCTTGAACAGAATTTTTCCTTCAGAACTACTCTGTCCTATGTGAGAATTAAAAATCTAACAGCATTTATCTGAGTGCCTGTGACAGTGGAAGCCTGCATGTTCAACACTTTGACAATAGGGCTACAACCCTTCTGACCACCTTCCTTAAATGTTCAGCATAGAAGGGATTGTAGAAGTGCCTTTGGCACTTGGATTAGGGAGGGAACCATTTCCTGTTCACCCATGCTTTATACTGCTGGTGTCTTATATATGGGAGTATTTATGTTGGTTATTTTCTGAAGCAGGGTCTTAAGTTTTCAGAGTAATCAATCTTCTTGTGTATATTCCTAGATCTGAACCAGAAAACAGGTCCACTATCAATAGCATTTTGGAAATAAATCTTTAGCCTCTCTTCTCATCTTTGAAATTTTTCATTGATCCTAGATGTGATCTCTAAATTGAATTGATGGCTTATCATTTTCTTCCTACTCATAGAAGGGACAATCAAGTTTTCTCACACATCTGGTTGGTTTCAAACATGTCTTAGCTTGGAGCTGTTGCTTTTCCCAGAGTATGGTCTGTTGCTCCTTCTCTCAAAGGCTTCTTCCTGAGTCAACAGTGACCTGTCATTCCTGAAAAAAATATGCTAGAGAGAGAACTACAGAAATTGATTAGCTTAATGTGTGTTGGAGAGTGTGTGCCATCCACATGCTTATTAAGTACCGTAGACCTTCTAAGAATGAACTAACTTAATTAAGGCTTAAAAGGAATACTAAGGCATGTTTACATACCCTAAGCTGTCTAGATCCATTGAAGTTTAAAGTCACTGATACAATTTCCAGAATTACCCTTTACATTAGGGAAAATAAGTTTTTAGGCACTTATGGAATCCTTTCTCTTGTCCACCTTTATTTTTAACCATCATTACCATTTTCTCTGTGAGAGATTCAGATTGTACTTCACTCTCTCAGATCTTTGAGGCTTGTCCCAAGTGTTGTTGAATAGCACTTGGAGCCTAGGAGCATAGTGAGGTATTGTGCTTACAGAGTTCCCAAGTCACTTGGACCAGCTCACAAACTGGATTTGCCAAGTTGACCCTCTTCCCTAAGTTTTGGAATTGATGACATGGGTTTAGGGGGCTAACACTGCTTCCAGTTGAATCCTTGGATAAAGCCTCTCCTTTTACTCCTCAGTGCTGTTTTCTGCCTGTTAGAAGGGTAGGTATGTATTTTGGGAGAGATGGACCTAAGTGACCTCTGAGATATTTTAAGCTTGAAATTTCAGGTTAGTTCTTCCAGCAAGTTTTTCATGCAGCCAGCTGATTTGAGAGCAAACAGCAACTTGGAATTTTGTTTTGATTTGCACCTGTTGCTATAGGGGACCTGTAGATTTTAGCAAAAATTTACAGAGCACAATAGTCTTGGTAATTCATGCTTCTTCCTAGTTATAAAAGAAAAATGTCATATGCCAAGCAGTTTGGAACCTAAAGTGTGCTGGTGGTATGTTTATTTTAGAAGTATTTGTGCCTATATTTGCCATGGTGAAATATTTATAAAACATGCTCTAGGTTCTAACTCCTTACCGTCTAGCAGAATATTCTAAGCTTAGAGTTCTGCTGGTTAGTTTATAGTAACAAATATAATGGAAAAATATATGTCATGGTAGTACAAACTCAAGGTAGCCAATTCAGTATCTTCATAACCTGAAAATAAGTGGTGTCTCCTAGAGGAAAAAAAAAGTTTTCTCATTCTTCCTACTTAACATTGCTTCTTTAATATCATGGTATCTACCATTCTGTAACTTCAGAAAAAAGTTTTTTTCCAGCCACATACAGATTGTCCCAGATACAACTTTTTTAAAAAAATTAAGTACGAATTCTTTTCAAGTTTCTGGAAAGATCTAATTTTAGTAATCAGAATTCTGCTGGTACCCATATACCAGGATCCTTAAAGGAAGAGATAGTGGCAACTTTCTCAGATCTGTTCCTATAACCCTAATACAGTTAAAATCTGTATTATCCTGGTCCAGATACACTCTCCTGAGACTACTAATTTTATATCTGGAGGGCCATCATCTTCAACATGGATGGATGTTTAACACCATTACTAAACTACACAAAAACCCACACTCCTTTATGACATGAGAACATTACATATATATTACTTTACATACATGAAGATGAGCATGTGCATTCACACTTTTTTTTTCTGCATGAATCAATGCATGAGCAAAGGGAACTGTCCTGTGATATAAATTCTCTTTGATGTAAAAGAAAGGAATGTTGAGGCTATACTGGGGCTGTTTATACAGCTCTGTAGGTAAGAATAGGGTCTTTGGAAGTGTATCTCTGAGGATGGGTAGTTAGTTTGTTTTAAGAGTATCCACTTCTCCAGTGGTAGTCCTGGAAATCCTGGTGCTGACTCTCAAAAATTTTTGGTCCTGAAATGATGAGCAAATGCAAGAAATATCAGGTTATAACTGGGCCACTTGTCTTTGTAGGTACAACCATGATCCTAGTAGAAAGGGTAGGTAATGCATTGAGTTTCTGTTTATTTTTCAATGCTTTTATGGACTATAACTGTAAAGGTCCCTAGGCTCATGGACACGCATGGAACAACAATCAGCCACTACATAAATACCTTTTCTCTAAAGTTCTGTTTATCATCCTGTGATATATTAAAGTTGATTGTGAGACTCATTTCTGATGTTTGTTTAATTTCCACGAGTCAGTCAGTTTACTGGTGTGTTTGCTATAGAATACAAAGTGTCATCAAAAATGTGGCTTATTTTCCCATAGATTTACTTGTTAAGTTTGGGATTTTTTGTTTTATTTGCTGGAAAAGATATTCACCACTTTAGATTTTCAGGGCTAATAGAACTGAGCTGTATTAATATGATACTGTATTAACTTCTGGCCCCTCCTTGTCTTTTCTGCAGGGTCTGGAGTCCTTTCTTTTTTAGCCCCATTAAATCAATCTCTTTGTAGTATTCAGATTTAAAGTTGCCTTGTTTGCTTCTGTTCCAACACATCCAGGAGAAAGAGGCCTTATATGTTACTCCATCCACCCTATTTGTTGTATCCATAGACCGTTGTATTAAGATTTCCTCAGGACTTCCTTTGGTTTTAAGTTAATCACCTTTCTTCAGGAAGTTGTGACTAGTTTCATTTCAGCACGAGGACCAACTTGTCATGGTGCTTTGCTTCATTTCAAATAAAAAGAGCCTTAGGAATACAAAAGGTAGGTGAGATGGTGTATATATAAACATACAGGATGCTTTTTGCCTGGTTTACCAGAGGGTCCAGCTTGTCAAAGCGATCAGAATCATGAGAACAGAGAAAAATGTTCACTTCTGCAGAATAAAGCTCTCCATGTAAACTTAGAAGATACTTAAAAAATGGATAGCAAAGTTTTGTCTTTATTTTGACAGTTTTCATTAAAGATGTAAAATCCCTTGTGGTTGATTTGTTATTTTTCCCTTCCCTTGGCCCTTTTTTAATTGGGTGGTTTTTTTTGGGGGGGGGGGTCAGTTCTTAGTCTTATTTGAGTCAGGCTGGTTGATGGAGTGAAAGAATTTTTCACCCATAAATTTGGATTAACTAGAACAAGTAAACCCAACTGAAACAGACATCCAAAAATACTATCTCTAAGAATTGCTTTATGCCATTGGGAATTTCAGAACAGGTCTTTTATATTTAGGAGAAATTTCAGAACTTTTTCAGTCCCCAATAGGAGTAATATAGTGTCTGTGGGAAAACAAAAATATGGCTCAGGGTGAACTTGAGAACTTAGTTGTTGGGGTTTTTTTAATTTTGATTTGTTTTTGACCAAACAAGAAGATAAGGCTAAGCCAAAATGATGTGATATAACATCCACATTTATGGGTAAAGAATTACTAGAAATTCTTAAACGCACATACTTTATAATCATAACCATGTACTTTTTACTGTGGAAAGGAGGTGATGGGGTATTAATCTTTTTAATCCTTGAGTCCAAACTGACTTTGACATGTTGAATATTAAAATACTTCACAAGTTAATAAACCATTTGTAAAGTGTTTATAAAGCTTTCTATCATGTGTTGGTACACCTTATCAAGTTTTTTCTGGCATGTATTCCATTCTAACTACTGTAAAATTTCTATTGTTGCTGTAAATATTATAAAAATATTTATCCCATGGTAACCTTAATTATCAGCATGAAAATGGTTAATTTTTACTAAGCACAATGTATTTTTGAATGGATCTTCCAAAAATACGTCTTTAATAAAATGCAGATTTTGCACTAGAAAAACAATGTTGTCCAGATTGCTATAACTCCAAAGCCATGCAAGCCATCAGCATTGAATTCCTCTTTATGATAGCATGTGGCTTATTTTTATTTCTTCATTGAAAAGTAGTTCATTTAAATTCCAGCCATTATGACAAAGGAAAATGTGCCCTTGAAGGGGAAATCAATGCAAGGGACAGAAATTAATCTCAGTGAATGCAAAAAAATCTGATATTGATAGTATTAGTGTTTTCATTTTCAAAACATCTCCATACCCCAGAAGCTTGGCACACTTTAAGTTGCTCTTAAGTATGAGTATGATACACTTGAAAATTAGTAAACTCTCAAGTACCTGAGGCAGTTACTGATTTAACTAGAAAAAGTACCAACCCAGTGCCATTGCTAATACCAGACCTCAGTCTAAACCCGATTCACCATAATATCCTCAACCCCAATTCTCAGTATTAAAGATTATGGGTATATAGATTTGTGAGAGGGAAGAAGTTAATTCAGAATAACTTCTGTTCAGTTTTGAAGACAAAATTATACAAAATAGTTCACTGAGTCTAATGTAGGACAGGCGATTACAATAGCTCTCCATGAAGTATAATTTGGTATATATAACAAGTTAATTAGGCATTTATGTAATATTTTATCTATATTAATTTATACTGACAGCACACATTAACCAAAAACAGATTTTCCTCTGCTTTACATAAAGGTTTTGTTCTACACAAAGATGTGTGCAAAGGTTTCCATGATGAGATTTCTAGTGTAGAAACAAAGGTTAACTTAGCACATAGCTGAGAGGTAGGAATGAAGAAGAAAGTTAACACATCAGAAAGGAAATTATGTTGACTTAAATAGTGACTTCGAGTGTAGTTGGATTAAATTGCAGCTATTAGCACTGTCACCTCAAATTTCTATAATACCTTTTCTTCTCAAATGCTTAAAAGATTTCATGTTTTCTCATCCTGTTTTAGAAGTGGAAGTGACAGACTGAGAATATTTTGTTCAAAAACAAGCCACTAACCATTCTGGAAAGGTGACAAAAGTGGAACTTGAAACTCTGGGAAAGAACAGGATGGGAAGGTTAATGAACAATGGACATGTTGGTGACCCTTAACTGGGAATCACAGCTAAAATAATAATCTTCCTTTCCTTCCCATTTGTTTCTCTAAAACTGCCTCTGGTTGGTTTGCATCAACTTAAAGCCTCACTTCAAGTTTTGCAAGGTACAGGACTGTGAACAACATTGTGCTAATTAAATGTGTTCCTATTACATTACATATGTAAAAACATGCATAGGAAAAATAGACATAGCAATGGTAGAAGCCCTCTTGTTTTAGAATTTGCATAAGCTTTTGTGAATAATTTTATTAGGAAGTCATAGGAGTATATTGAATGTGACATTTTTCATGTAATAGCTAAATTCTTTTATTGTAAATTTAGATTAGGGATCAGATTAGTGTTCCTAAAAATGAAAGGAAACATGCTAAATAAAAGATAAGGAGCTGAGGTTTTTTTTTTCCAAAGTAATTTTTTAAAATGAAGAGCTTCTATGACAAAGAAGATGGAATTAGAAATTAAAATTGTAGATATATTTCATGTAATAGCTATATGGTCATGTGCACATACATGTAGATTATATTTCAGTATTCTACTAGACTAAATTTTATTACTTAAAAGTATGTGTTTTGGTTATGTTTTAAAATTAATCTTACGTTTGGATAAGCTAACATGCCATCATAAATTACTTACAGAAAAAGGGCTTTTTAAAATATCAGTGCAATTAATTTTAACTACAAATAATAATAGAATCAGGATCTTAGAAATGAAAGTAACCTTAGAGGCCCCCACTTAAGGCAGAAAACAAACTCCGTTCAGGTTCTGTGTGAACGCTTTGCCCTTGCACTCTCTTACCTGTTTTTGTTTTTGTTTTTGTTTTCCTCACATGAAATTCTCTATTTGTCTCTCTGTCTGATGAAAAGATTTCTCTAGTCATTCCTCCACAAGATGAGGGAGTGGTTTAAGTGATCTCTAAGACCTCTTTCAGCTCTTAAGACAATATTTAGGATTCTGTATACTCCTGTGGCAGACGAAAAGTTCAGTTCCTTTTTCTAGTAAGTTTTGTCAGTTGTATTGTCCGTGATGGTGCACATTTGTCCATTTGTACTAAAGCCAGAGATGGATTTTAGCAACCCTCATTAAGAGGAGACTGAAGTCTGTGACTGGAGAATCCTAACACCCAATTCAAACGAACAGCAGGGTAATTAGAAGGCAATTATAAATATAGGAAAGCTAGGTGGTGCAGTGGGTAGAATGCTAGACCTGGAGTCAAAAAGTCTCGTCTTCTTGAGTTCAAATCTGGCCTCAGACTTTTACCAGCTATATGACCTGGGGCATGTCACTTAACCCTGTTTGCCTCAGTTTCCTCATCCGTAAAATGAGCTGGAAAAGGAAATTAGCAACCCGCTCTAATATCTTTGCCAAGAAAACCCAAATGGGATCATGAAGAGTCAGATATGACTGAAAAATGACTAAACAAAAATAATATAAGCTTAAAAACATTTTTAAGGTTCCTAAGAAATGGGTACAATGATATGAGGAGAAGGTGCCTGAGAATGAAGGGGTAGGCAAAACCAAAACCACTTGATTCGGAGTCAGAGGACTTGGGTTAAAATCCCAACTCTACTATGTTCTACTTGTATGACTGTCAACCTTTCTGGACCTCATTGTTCTGATCTGTAAAATGAGGACTTACAGCAAGGATCTTTGTAGGGATTTGTTCTATGAAGTTTGGATTCAGTCAAAGGGCTGCACTTGAGGACCTAGAGGGCCACATGGGCCTCAGGGTCACAGGTTCCCCACGCCTGGCTTAGAAACTCAATGCTTCTAAAGTTCTTTCTGGCTCTGTGATTTTATGATTTCAAGGTATTGTTCATATTAATTCCATGGGGTTAGACCTCTGAGATTCCCTCTAGGTTTGTCTATTATTCTCTGATCTTGTGTCCTCTTCCTTTTTATCCTGTGGAAAAGAATTCACTTAAGGGAGATGAATTAGTGTGAGTCAATGTGGCCAAGAGATCACTGAGTCCAGTCTCCTCATTTTGTAGATAAGGAAACTAAAGTCTAGAGCAAATAAGACCGGAATTGAAACTCAGATCTTCTGATAAACTTCAAAATTAGTTTCTTCTGATGTGCCATGCTGCTAGGCCTGGCCAATTTTGACTAAGAAAGGGCAGAACTCCACCCAGGGCCAGTCCTAGGTAAAATAATGAAATGGACAAAACTGTATAATTTTAAGAGGAAATGCTGTCCAAGGGCAGTGCTCCCTTGAAAGGCATTATGGAAACATGGATAGGACATTGGATTTGGTATTAGGAGGACCTGGATTCAAATCCTACCTTAGACACTTACTATCACCCTGGACATACATAACTTCTGTGCCTCAGTTTCCTTATCTGTAAAATAAGGGGATTAGATTTGATGGCCTCTGACATACCTTCTAGCTTTAAAACTATGATCCTATGACCATCGTCTCTGAATTCACCCCAAGGGGTATTGTCTGCTCAAATTGCTGATAAGATCCTGCCAGTATCATAGAGCATGTCATCAATTAAAGGTTGTTGCTATTGTTCAGTCATGTCCTACTCTTTGTGATGCCATTTGGAGTTTTCTTGGCAAAGATACTGGAGAGGTTTGCCATTTCCTTTTCCAGCTCATCTTTTTTTTGGGGGGGGGGGCTAGGCAATGGGGTTAAGTGACTTGCCCAGGGTCTCACAGCTAGTAATGTGTTAATGTGCCCGAGGCTGAATTTGAACTCAGGTCCTCCTGAATCCAGGGCCGGTGCTCTATCCACTGCACCACCTAGCTGCCCCTCCAGCTCATTTTACAGTGAGGAAGCGGAAGCAAAGGGACTTGCCCAGGGCCACACAGCTTGTAAGTGTCTGAGGCCAGATTTAAACTCATGAAGATGAGTGTTCCTGATTCCAGGCTTGGCACTGTATCCTTTGTACCACCTAGCTGCCCAATTAAATAGGTCATTTAAAGCTAAAGTAGCATATGAAAAGCCACTTCTTACATGAGGGAAGATAGTCTACTTTCATACATTTTGTTGGTGGTGGTGAATCATATGAATTATCAGCCTAGAGAAAAGATTCTCATTTCAGGTATGTACTGGTCCTCAGAGCCCAATTCTTCCTCTAATTTTCTGCAGCCCTCCTAACACTTTGTGGGGTCCCTTTTGTCTCCGGAACTAAATATTGTCCCCTAAGCAAAGCAGCAGGCTAGATCTTGATCCATGATCTTGGAGTGATTCCCTGTGTAACAGAGTAAAGAACTACTACCAGCATGGTGGTACAAATTGGATTGTAGAATGAGAGTGAGCCCTCATTTGATTTATCTCCACTCAGGAAAGCCAAGCAAAAGAATGATCAGATTCATTAGAATGATTCTGAGCCAAGAAATAGGGCCAAACCCTTTATTTCACAGAACTACAAGTATGAATGTGCCATTACTTACTCACACACATATCTATGCCATCTAAATGTCACTGCATGCATTTTGAGACTAAAATAGTTTTAGAACACAACTGAAGAAAAAATAATCGCCCTCACTCAGTGGATAACTGTGAGATGACTGGTAAGCTATCACCCTAACCTGAACTGCAGGTTCACAAGATTTGTGCTGGTTTTTAATTTGGTAGTTTATTAAAAGAAAGCCTACACCCTCAGGCAACTTATGACCCCACTGGCATTACACTTTTCCTCAGATTACTGACACCCAAGGAAAGATTTCAACAGATAAATTGTTAATGTATCCTTTCCTCAAGAAACTGGCTTTGGGAAAAGTGCTTTCCTCCATGTTTTAGTAGGTCCCAGTTGCAGGAGACAGGTGTCTTGTGAAATCTAAACCACTTGTAAAATGCTATTCCTTTGTTTTTGTTTTTTTTCAAGATGAAAAGTTCAAAAGAAATATAGGCGAGGGGTTTTGATATCTAACAGACTTTGCAAAATTCAACACTTCTACCTAGCAGTGTACTTATTCATTTTTCTTCTGAAAGACCATTTTTGATCTGTCTAATCTTGTCCTATGTTGCTCTTTTGCAATGCTAAACACATTTACTCATGCACTCCAACAGCTCCATCCTGATGGCGATCCGTACATGCCAGCCCAAGGGAATTAAACGGATGTAACGGGAAATAATAGGAGGCCTTAAGAGATTCTGGACAGAGGATGTTCTGTCTGAGTTTCCGTAGAACACCTAAAACAAAAAGGGAGAAACCAAATGGAGATTAGTTCACATAGCCACATCAAAGGAAAGGCAAGGCCTGGATATGGCCAGAGTTTGTTTGTTTCTTTTTCTTTCTGTGAGGCAGTTGGGGTTAAGTGACTTGCCCAGGGTCACATGTGTTTCCACACATGTAGAAGAAGTGGGTTTTAATGGTAAAACTCAGAATTGTTTTTAACAAAAATACCTAGAATTAGAGGAAAAATAGGAAATTCGGCTAACCCACAGGCAGATAGAAAACAACACATGCTTAATAGCTTTATGAATATTAACTTCTCCTCCCCTAGGAGGAGCAACAGCTCATTTGAATGCACATGCGATGTAAGTAGCAGGAGGAGAAACATAACAAGGGGCAATGTGAAGTAGGTGTTCTGAGAGTTGTACACCTTGGAGTACCCAGCCAATGGGGAAACAAGGGAGGGACTTCGCGGGTTTGGGATAGGAATATAACCACTTGCCTTTCCTTCTATAGTGTGTGTGTCTGCCTCTGGCAGCACATCTGCTTCTTATAAGAACGTAGAATAAATGATCTTGCCTCACCTACCCAAGGAGTCTTTGTTTTTCCTATAGAAATTATTTCTAACAATTGGCTAGTAAGTTTCAAGTGTCTGAGATGACATTTGAACTCAGGTTCTCCTGACTCCAGAGCCCTGACTCTGTCCCCTGTGCCACCTACCTGCCCCTGGCCTAAATTTCTAAATGCTTGCTGCAGAACCAGGTTCTTGAAGGCTTACAGTAATGCCAAGGCCCAATCCTAGAAACTTAGCCAAGTTTTCTCTTGATGAAAGCACAGACAGAGCAGGAATGCTTCTGACAGTCACTGTGTAGAGACATCAAGTCACTGTGTTTCCCTGGGCTCATTTTCTGTTTTGTGTTTGGGTTTACCCTGCTTTTTCGCATGGTAAACAGACTGCTTTGCAGCAATCACTTTCCGGTCAGTGTAACAAAAGTAGGCCCAGCCTTAAGAATGTTGTTTTTATAGTTTTGGATAGAAAAATTAAAGCTTTGCCCTGGCCTAGATGCAAATTGCAATTTGGCATCTTCTGGAGTCCCTGAAAAACTTTTAAAAGGGACAGAGGAAAAAAACAATACAGTGAAATACCTGAAGTATTACATTTATTCAAATTCACACTACTCAAAGCTATAGTTACACCTTCCACATTGTGACTTTCCCCATTGCAGTTTCAGGGTTTTGATATGTCGCAGGTCGGCATAAGAAATTAAATGACAATATTTTGGGAGTTTTACGGAAGCCACTGACACAAGAAGGCTAGCAGATGACACAGAAAAAGTTTAGAAACTCAGAAATGCATAAAAAATACGTATAGTATTGCATAATATCAACATGTTTTATCTTTTAATAGTATAAACACCCCATAAAAGAAGAAAAAATTCAGACTTCTTTTCTAGTAGGAAGGGAGGGCCAAAAACTTTTATATGGATTTTCCAGATTGAAGGGGAACCATGGACTTAGGTCCCTCGATGTGGAAGGGATAACTGTAATTGTGTAAAATACAGTCCCTGTTTGAGGTCCATTATTTGTACTAATAGAACCTTTCTGTATGTGGAGGGATTAGAGGTAACAGTAGGGGAAGTGAGCTTTTCATTTTGACATGAGAATATGTAGAAATGAACAAGTTGGAGTGGATATTTCAGAGTATTTCAGAGCAACCTTCCTCCTGATTATTTTCTAACATGTGGGTGTCGTCCAGTATTGTGGGGAAGCACATTTTCCAGTTTGTATCAACCTTTTAAAACTTCTGAATCTGACCCAGGAATCATACACATGAATACAGAGGTCTTTGCTAGCTAATGACTCTACAGCCTTCTTGGTGACAGTGTCATGTGACAATCAAAGCCTTCTGTCTCTGATATATAATTAATAATAGCTAACTAACATTGCAGAGCTCTTTGATTTCAGGCAGTCAATAAGCATTTAGTATTTGCAAAGGGCTTTATATATGTTACCTCATTTGATCCTCAACAAACCTCTGGGTTTGTTAATTAATTAAGTTATTGCTATTAGCCCCATTTTACAGATGAGGAAACCAAGGCGAAGGGAAGTTAAGTGACTTGCCCAGGGTCCCACATCTAGTAAGTGTCTGGGGCAGGATTCCAACTCAGGTTATCTGACTTCAAGGTCCAGGACACCACTTAGATATCTATTTAATCCTGAGCCTACTTAGTCACCATGATTAGGTTAATGTGAGAGTGGTTCTTTGGACTCCACAAGTCTGTACAATTTTCTATGTAAAGAAATGTGATAGTCTATTAGTGTCCTTAGAACCTTGAGAGATTTTAAGTATGCTTCAAAACAGTGAAATTAGTCTAAAATGAATGCTGGATACATGATGTTCAAATTCATCTTATCATATTACCCTAATAATGGATCAGATTGCATGCAATTTCTTCAGAAATCATAAGATATCCATGTTAAAAAACGTGTGGGTGGGGCTTTGGCAAGAGGACTGGACAAGGCAAACTGCTCAGTTAAAAGGCTACTACTGGTCAGCTCCGCTAACTAGCTATGTGATGTCAGGCCAAACCACTTAACTTTATAGGACTTGGGTTAGCACAGAATGGCTGGTACATAGTAAGCATTTATTGACTTAATTTGTTGATTCCTTTAAAACGAAGCAGGATAGGACCAGATGATTTCTAAGATTCTTTCCAGCCCCCCAAAATCTATGAAATTAGCTTCTAATATGAAATAATAACCAGATAGAAATTTATTCTAGTTATTTCTGCTAGATTCAAAAATCAGCAAAATATTCTGAAACTATAACGGAATGATAGTAGGTACATATATCATAACAGATGCTGATCGTTTTGTTGAGAGTCTTTGCTTAGAATCTTCAAACAATAACAATATTTCAGGCTACTAGAGCAAAGTATATTTTATGAGTTGGGGAAATAACTCCCAGTTGCAAATGCATTGTGAAATAATTTTATTGAACACGCTTTTAAAATGACTTAAACCAAGATATTCCATATCTGACTGAAGCAGCTAGATGGCACAGTGGATTAGAGTGCTGGGCCTGGAGTCAGGTAGACTCATCTTCCTGAGTTCAAATGCAGCCTTAGACACTGACTAGCTGTATGACCTGGGCAAGTCACTTAGTCCTGTTTGCCTCAGTTTTCTCATCTGTAAAATAAGCACCAGAAGGAAATGTCAAACCATTCCAGTCTCTTTGTCAAGAAAACCCTGAAAAGGGTCACGAAGAGTCAGACACGACAGAACAACAACAAGCATAGCTTAGTATGTGCCAGGCACTGTGCTAAAAGTTTTACAATTATTTTCTCATTTGAACCTCACAACAACCCTGGGACGTAGGTACTATTATTCTTCCCGTTTTACAGTTGGAGAAATTGAGTCAAAAGAGGTTAAGTGACTTGCCTAGGGTCACACCACTAGTATGTGTCTCATGCTGGATTTGAACTTAGGTCTCTCCTGAGGATAGGAGGATCCCTTTTAAAAATTGTTGAAGGCATCCTAATCATGCTAGTGGGTTAATAATATATAACATACAGTAATATACAATAATCTTCAGAAGCAGCATCAGTGCAGATGGTATATGCCCAATCTGCTCCTATTATTTTCATGATTGTGTCTATATTGTCCAAGCTTGAAGCTGAGGGTTAGGGATATATCAAATGAATTTGAAACTGTCCCAAGTGGCCTGTTCTGATTATTCAAGTGATGATGCATTAATAGGACACCATGCATAAATATTTCTTTTGTTCCTTAAGTGAATTTCAAAAATTCCAAGCATATATGACTGTCACTCACTCGATTGTTGCCAGTCTGGTCTTTGTAATAAACCCAGTTTGAGCCCTCATCAATCCGGTACTGTACACTGTATTTAGTCATCCACTCATCAGCATCACAGCGTCCCTGTGTGAGGATCCCTGAGATCACCTTGATCTCTTTCAAGTCTATCTGTAGCCACTGATTGCTGTCTTGATATTTGGAGAGCCATGCACACCTATGGAAAATATGGCATTAGTCCTGGAATCTAGTCTATGAAAATGTTACACAGCTAGCAAATGATTTTATAAAAACACTCTATTAAAAAAAGAAAAAAAGAAAAAAACTTACTAGAAAGCAGAGACTGAGTCAGAGACTTAGGAAACTTTGAAGGAATTCAACTCTGCTTTTTAATTGGCATGCAGAATTGCCACAGAGAATTCCCAGACATTTTAGCAAGAAAACAAGCCCATGTCATCCCTTCCTGTACCTCTATTTCCCTAAGAAAATAGTTTCAGAATTAAATTAACTATATCATCAGAAAGCACTCAGAGTTGTAATTTAAATTTCTTTTGAAGAATACCTTACTCATAGGATCATAGACCTAGAACTAAAAGGAACTTATAGTCTATCTAAGACTTAGCACCTCATTTTTACAAATGAGGAAACTGAGGCCCAGGGATTGTAAGTGATTCGCCCAAGGTCACTCAAAGTGGTAAGCATCAGAAGGGGAATGAAGAAAATTCTTTAGGAACCAGGATGATGCTGCACAATATCTTTCATCCTATATATTTACATATATGTAACATCTTACCCATTTGATGCTAAGTCACAGACACATGAAACCTATTGTCAAAGCACTTTCCTTACAATCCTGTGAGTACAATTACTTTCATTTCACAGGTAGGTAACATATTATTATCCTCAATTTATAAAGGAGTAAAGGGACTTACCCAGAGTCACACAGTTAGTAAATGTCAGAGGCAGGACTTAAACCCAAGGCCAAGAGATCTTTCTCTTGAGCCCTATTACCTCTTTGTGGGGGCAGCTAGGTGGTACAGTAGATAGATTGCTGTGCCTGGAGTCAGGAAGATGAATCTTCCTGAGTTTACATCTGGTCTCAGACACTTGCTAGCTGTGTGTCCCTGGACAAGCCCCTTAATCCTGTTTGCTTCAGTTTTTTCATCTGTAAAATGAGCTGGCTAAGGAAATGGTGAACCACTCCAGTATCTTTGCCAAGAAAATTCCAAATGGGGTCATGAAGAGTCAGATAAGACTGAGCAACAACAATCTCTTTGTGGGTTGATTAGAACATTTCATTCATCTCTCTTACTATTTCAATTTTTTCTTCCTAGGTCTTTCTTATTCTTGGGAAATTTCTCTATGCCTTCTCCAAGGTATTTGATATCAAAGTCAATGAATATTTATTGATTTTCTACTCTATGCTAGATATTGTGATGTATGAAATTTGTCTGGAAGTTGTTCGAAAAGCTTATAACAGCATAAAAATTTGAGTAGACAGAACTGGAAAAGGCTTTTTTTTTTTTTTGGCCTAGACATGATTTTACTGGCTTAAGGAATTCCCAGGTGGAGACTTCCTCCACTCATGCAGATCAGCATGATCTTCTGTAACTTATAGTATGAAAGAACTGTGCGAGGTTCTGAAAGACTCACCCATGGTCACATGGCTAATATATGTCAGAGGCAGACCTTAAACCCATTGTGGGGCATCTAGGTGGTGCACTGGCTAGAATGATAGACCTGGAGCCCCACCTCCAGGTGGGGCTCAGACACTAATCTTTTTGTGATTCTGGGCAAGTTATTTCATCTCTGTGTATCTCAGTTTCTCCATTTGTAAAATGAGGATAATAATAGAACAGGGAGGATAAAATGGGAAATTTGTAAAGTACTTTGCAAAACTTAAAACACTATATACAGGTCTGGCTCTGTATATACATGCTTTCAGAAGGGACCTTAAAAATAAATAAAATCCAACCACCTCATTTGGGTAAACTGAGGCCCGAAGAGGCAAATGATTGCCACAAAGCCATTCTGTTAGTGAATGACCAGGACAGAATTTAACTCCCGGTCCTTGGATTCCAAGTTCAGGCTGCCTGCCAGGTGGGATTGTTTCATTTTATTCTAGATAGGTCCCTCTTAGATTGTATATATTCCCTCTCTTGCCCTTTATATCCTTTCACAATATTGAGTATTTACTCAATTTTTTTTTTACTAATTTACTAATTTTACTAATTTATTCAATTATTTACTAATCTCTTTTCTTTTGCTCCATCGATGTTGGCAGATGGATGAAAGATAGTTTTTGATGACACACAAAACCTTCCTTGGCTTACCCATAGCCTTGGCTATTGAGACGTGCCTTGCTTGCTGTCCATGAAGAATACCATCCTATGTACTGTTCTGGATTGGAGCAACTGATTTGGTCTGGAGTAACAACTCCAGATTCGAAGCCCAAAGGTTTATGGTATGGGCATTCTGGAGTGGGGAAAAAAAGAGCCAAATGAAAACAATCATATTTATGTCAACAAACACAAGAAATCTCAAACTCATAATCCCATTTCTGATAATTTTCTATTTGTCCTTGTGGTTGATGATGGATAGAAGAGGGCCTTTTCAGGGACAGAATGGAGATTACTTAAAGATAAAAGGATAATCAACAAATATTGGAAGGGATGTAGAAAAATTGGGACACTAATTTGCTGTCGGTGGAACTGATCCAATCATTTTGGAGAGATAAATGGAAGTATATATAGAGTGGTTTTACATATACATATGTAAATATATATACACACTATATATATATACATACATACACACACACACACACATATATATATATATACATATTTGTGTCTAATGGTAGCCATCTCTAGAGTGGGGGAGGGAAGAGAAGAAAAAAGGGAAAAAAAAGAAAATTAGATGATAAATTTATTATATATTTAAAAGGAATAACAAGTTGTACATAATAGATTTGCAGTTTCATGTACAATCATCTTTTTTTTTTTACTATTCTACTATGTTATGGAAATGCTTGTTTTATTTCTTAAGTTCAAAATAAAATAAATAAAAAATTTTAAAAAGATAAAAGGATTGCCATGAAGGTAAGGTAGGAGACGAAGTTATTGTTTTGTTTTGTTTTGTTTTTACAATTAGGAACTTAAGAAATTGGTTCTGTCCATCTTAAGCTATAGTTTTAAAGGATTAAATATTTAACTCCAACACAGCAACCTATCTATATAGTGCTTTAAGATTTGTAAAGCACTTCTTCCACACCAACCCAGTGAGGTATTGTTATCCAGAGGCAGCCACTTGGTTCAGGGACAGAGCACTGGACCTGGAGTCAGGAAGACCTGAGTTCAAATGTGACCCACTTACAAGCCATGTGACCCTGCCTCAGATTCCTCATCTTTAAAATGGGAAGATTAATAGCACTTACCTCTCAGGGTTGTTGTGAGGATAAAATGAGATAATATTTATAAAGTCCTTTGTAAAGCACTATAAAAATGCTAACCATTGCTATTATCCCCATTTTACAAATGACAAAACATTCAAATATTAGGTGTTTTCATTTTTCCAATCAGCAACTAATCTAAGTGCTATCTTGGCAGACCTACTAGTATTCAGGTCATACATGATAGCAATTAGAAAGTTCGTTTAGCAAGGTCCAGAGTATTATATTCTAATCTAGTTCCCGCTCGTATATATAAAGTCTTTTTGAGACCACATTCCAGGTAGCAGAGAGCCATTTTAGAGCAGCTCATCCAAGAAGGGAACAGGGACGTGTTATTTTCAAGCTTCAGATGGCCAAACAAGGTCCTTGACAAAGAGACTGAGGTCATCTATTATTCACATGCTGCTATACCTTTTCTTGGACACTAAGAAAATGGCTTGGTTATATATAGGGGGAAATGACAAAGTTATATAAGTGCATTTCTCTCTAATTTAATCTGTCAGTCAACAAGGCTTGCTATGTACTTGACACTGTGCTGAACACTGAGAATATGAAGAAAAACAGAGAGTTCCTGCCCTCAAGGAGCTTACATCCCAATGACAGGGATAACATGTAAATAATTAGGTACATACAAGATATAGAGAGAATAAATGGAAAGTAATCTCAGAAAGTTGGGCAGGTGGGTGGCAAAGCAGATAGAGTGCTGGGACTGGAGTCAGGTAGACTCATTTTCATGAGTTGAAATCCAGCCTCAGACTCTTATTAGCTAGTCACTTAACCCTGTTTGCCTCAGTTTCCTCATCTGTAAAATGAGCTGGAGAAGGAAATTGTAAATCACTCCACTATCTTCATCAAGAATGGTATCACTAAGAGTCAGCCATGGCTGAAAATAACTGAACAACAATCTCAGAAAGGAAGGCAGTAGCAGGTAGAGGTGGGGGTGACAGGGAGAATAAATCAGTCAATTGGATTTATTAAGTTTCTACTATGTGCCAGGCACTACCCCCCAAAAAAAGGATTGTTTCTACTCTCAAGGAACTCATAGTCTAAAGAGGGAGAGAACATGCCATCAATTATATATAAACAAAGGATAAATTAGGGGTAAGTCTCGGGTGGAAGACACTAAGATGAAGCAAAAAGTAAGAAAACAGGAAAACACCTCCTGCAGAAAGTAGGATATGAGCTGAGTTTTGAAGAAGCCAGGGAGGCAGAGATGACAGGCATGGGGGAGAGCCAATGAACAGGCATGGAGACTAGAGATGGAGTGTCATCTTCAGCAACTAGGCAAGTATAGCTGGTATTCCAGTCATAACATTGCAGAAAACTGCACCAAATTTTGACTGCAGAATTATTTATTGTCCCACTACCTTTGAAAGTAAAGCCTTTGGAAGAAATCACTTTTCAGGGTGTTCCCAGACAATGACTGTGGTCAATGCATCATGAGCTCATGAGCTGGTTTGGGTAACAGAAGAGCATGCCTAGTGGGAACCACTTAACGCTGGTGTTGGGGTAGACAACCAACCATGTTGATGTTTTCAGGTGACACTGGAAAGGCTCTACTACCCCCAAAACATATCTCAAATATATCAACAACTGGTATTCTATTAGAATTTCTTCATTTCTTTAGCTTAAACCTTTGTTGGACCTCCTAGAATGTCAATTGGTAAGGGAATGTTCCATTCATCTTAACACATCCGTGTGGTGTTGTTGTTATTGTGTTCTGTTTTTTTTTTTAACAACTTAAAAGTAACAATTAAATCTGATCATTCCTCAAGAGCAAGTTTTCATAGAGTAGGGAAGGGACATAGGTAGGAAGCAGAAAAGACACTGGAGAGAATGCTTTCACTGTGGAAGGAAAATGAAACATGCCAGGTGATTCCCCCCCACCCAAGACAAACTTTACTATTTCACAATTTTTCCAACCCTAGAATCACACCTAGTTTTCCAGTCACAAGCAGCTACACAGGCAAGGGTCATAAGAGAAAATAAGATATTTCCCCTATCTCTGATGTTCAATTTTCTCCCTATTTTTGGTTTCTTCTCACTCCCCTCCTCATTTTTTCTCTCCAATCAATACATCTGAAGACAGAGCTGAGTTAAAGGATCAGGAGAGAAGCAGTAACTTCCCCAGTCAGCAGCCATGAAGGCTTGAATGGACTTGTCTAGCACTAGTAAGCAGAAAGATATGAGATGCTTGTAAATTTTTTATGGAAAAAAAGGATGTAGTTGTCCAGACACTGATCACCCCATCACGGGAGGCCACAGGGGACCTTCTTAGGATGTGCAGAAACGACAAGCTGTGTCCAGGTAAAGGACATATGGGAGCCTTAGGACAAACTGATTGAAGTTAAATAACAAACTGATATTTCTGGAATTGGTGTGGGGTAAGTATGTGCGTCTGTTGGGAGGGGGACTCTTCATTCTAGTCCAGTTTCATCTTCCCAGCAAGCACTGTATGTAGCATGAAAACAAAATTTGGGAAAGATGGAAAATGAAAGCAACAACGAAGTACTTAAATATTGACGATAAAGTAATCAAGGAGACAAAAAAAATTCAGACTCTTTGGTCTCCAAGTTTCCTGCTGAACAAATTTTTGAAAAACAAAACAAGTATGTGTATGTATATGTATATGTATATGTATATGTATATGTATATGTACATGTATACACATAATACACATTTTTTATGTGTGGGAGGAAAGAAGTCAATCTTATTTTGATATTATTTTTGCTCCTGAAAAACAAAACAAAACAAATCTTAAATTTTTGTGAGGAGGGTGGTTTGAGAGATTTTTCTCCTTCTCTTCCCCATTAAATAAACTTCAGAGACTCCCTATCACCTCCAGGATCAATAAAACCCTCTGTCATTCAAAGTTCACTATAACCTGCCCCTGCCTCACCTTACCATTCTTAACATTTTCCATTCCCACCTACTCTGACCCAGTGACATTGGCCTCCTTGCTGTTCCTCCAACAAGACTCTCCATTTCCCAGCTCCAGGAATTTTCACTGGTCTGGCCCCCATTGCTGGGTGCTCTCCCTTCTCATCTCTGCCTTATGGATTCCTTGTCTTCCTTTAAGTTCCAGCTAAAATCCCACCTTCTAAAAGAAGCCTTTCCCAATCTCCCTTAATGCTAGTACCTTCCCTCTGTTAATGATCTTCAACCTAGCCTATGTATAGATTGTTGGTACATAGCTGTTTGCATGTTGTTTCCCCCATGAGATTGTGAGTTCTGTGAAAGCAAGATTATTTGGTGGTTGAGTTTTTTGGGGTGGAGGGTGGGGGGATGTTGTCTTCTTGTTGACTAAAGAGTTGATTTTATTGTTGTAAGTGCAATTATATCTTCATGTTTCTCTATTAATTTGTTCTGCATAGAAATGCCTTATTTAACCTTCTTGCTTTGTTCCATTCATTTGTGATACAGCATCTTTTCTCCAATGCCATAACAAAAAAAATGTGCAAAGATGGTCACATAAATACATACCCACCTCAGAAGGAATCCAAGGCTCAAATAAGGATTGAATAAGTAGGAGAGTAAAGCACTTGGGAAGCAATTACACACACACACACACACACACACACACACACACACACACACACACAC